CAAAGCGCGTAGAGTCCCTGCTTCGTCAGCTGCACTGCCTCAACGGCAAAGGTCGAAAACGTCGTGAGGCCTGGCCGGTAGCTTGCAGTTTGGGGTTTAGGGTTTAGGGGTTTAGGGTTTAAGGATTTAGGGGTTTGGGGCTTTTAGAGTTTAGGGGTTTGGGACTTGAGGCGTTTAGTTTAGGGGTTTAACGGTTTAGGGTTTAAGGCTTCTGGGGTTTAGGGCTTAAGGCTCGGAGTTTTGGGCTCTTCTTTCACGCCTGACGTGTAAGGTTTATAGGGTGTAGGGGTTACGGGGTCGAGGGGCCCTGCAAGGGCTGCCTAGTGCTTGGGGGCGGGCAGTCGACTTCAAGATGCTACAGCCAACGAGCCCTAAACCCCTGAACCTTAAAACCCAAAACGCCCTAAACCCTATAATATAAGCCCTGAACCTGTAAACCTGAATCCTAAGCCCAGATTGTGAACAGAATACTGGCCACTCTCTGGCCATCTAGGGCTGTCTCTGAAGCTGGTTCCTGACCATGGAGAGTTCGTAGAATTTAAGATCCCCTAATCGCCCTAATCATGAAAGCCTGCTTACATTGAGGTCCCTTTAATGCCTAACCCTGAACCCCAAACCCTAAACCGAAACTGTCAGACCCGGGGGTTTACGCTGCACAGAAATGCAGCGATCTAGGTCCACGGAGCGCGCAGAAACCAGAATAATCACTCCTGGTATAGATCTAGAAACCCTACCTTCGCTTACGTATGTACTTAGAACCCTTTAAATGGATAGTACGTGTATGTATAACTATACAGATACACATAGACCCCAGACCTGTGTAAAGAAAGGAAAGTAGATATGCTTAGCATTGCTTAAGCCCTAGTTAAACCCTGAACTTACCTGAACCCTTAACCCTAAACCCTAAACCCTAACACTACCAGTCACTCCCCCCCGACAAACTTTCCCGCCTCTGCCACCACCTGACAGGTTCAAAGCTTAAGGCTTAGAGGGTTTTGGGGTTTAGGGCTTATCGGCTTCATAGGGTTTAGGGTTTAGGAATTATAGGCTTTATAGGGTTTAGGGCTTAGGAGATTCAGCAAATCTGCGACTTCGGTTGCTGGTTGGATGAGCTCCTGCATGCAAAGTTTGCCCCTAAGACTCAAAATGGCCCAAAAGCCCTTCATCATAACTATGGTCCTTGGACCCAAAAAACCTTAAAAATGTGAGTCCTGAGCCTGAGAAGCCTTTCAATATCTTAAACCCTAAACCCGAAACCCTAAACCTTAAACCCTAGACACGAAACCCTAAACCCTAAGCCCGAAACGCTAAACCCTAAACTCTAAACCCGAAACCCTCAACCCGAAACCCTAAACCCGAAACCCCGAAACCCCGAAACCCGATTCCCTGTTATAGGGATTACGGCGTGGGCGTCAGGGCCGAGGGCCCTATCACCCAAAGTGCAGCTCTATCCCGAAGGGTTTAGGGTTTAGGATTTAGGGTTTTAGGGTTTAGGATGTAGGGTTTTAGGTGTAGGTTTAGGGTTTAGGATATAGGGCCTTAGGGTTTTAGGGTTTAGGATTTAGGGTTTAGGATTTAGGGTGTAGGGTTTAGGATTTAGGGCCTTAGGGTTTAGGGTTTGGGATATAAGGTTTTAGGGTTTAGGATATAGGGTTTAGGGTTTTGGGATATAGGGTTTAGGATTCTGGATATAGGGTTAGGGAAATAGGGTCTTCGGGTTTAGGATATAGGGTTTAGGGTCCATGTACCCAAATATGAATAATTGCATTGGCCTCAAAGTACCCTGCAGGGACTACTTTACAGCCTAAGTATACTGTATGGGCGCATGGCCCCTTAGGGTCAGATCGGTCCTGGCGCTGGCTCAGGGATTAGCGTTCGGGATTTAAGGTTTCTAGGGCTTTATTGTCTCAGCACCCTGGGAGCCCAGTTACCTAAAGTAAGTATTCTGGGTACTATAAGTTCATATAGGGCTTAAGATCTATGGGGCATTATCGTCAGAGCTCTTCGCGATTGCGAGCTAGGCGTCTAGGGCGCTAAGGGTTCAGGGCTATGTTTAGGTGCCTAGCCCTACACCCTAAAACCTAAACCCTAAACCCTAAGATGGAAAGTTCGTACGTAGCTGCAGAGAAGTCGGGCTGCAAGTCATGTTCGGCAAGCGTCGTCGCATAAAACCCAGCTTTCGATTCCGCTGAAACCTCTAGCCCGAAGCCCTCAATACCGGACGTCTTTAAAGCCCCACATCCTTAAACCCAAACCTCCGAGATTCCTCTAAAGTAGTCATCTCGGAAACCTGATCTCAAAACTTCACAACCATGTACTTTGGTTCCTTTGCCGACTCGATGATTCACAAACTGTTCATGAAAGCATCCTAGTCGTCTTACCGGGTTAGGTCAATATGCTCCTGCTCCCATTGTTCAGGTAGCCCATCATGCGAGGTGCATGTTTGTGCGTCTTTGTCCGCAATCCCGCGCACCTGTTTAGGGATCTTGCACACTTCCCGTCAAGCACCGAGGAAAAGCAAACACGAAGAGACCAAAGCCCTGAACCCTAAACCTCAACCCTGAAATCCAGCCTCCATCGCAGCCCCATTGTCGGGGCTCTGCGGTGCAGCAAAAACAGCAGCCACCGTGGTGGCACCGTCCGCTTTCATGGCCTGTTTGTCATGCAGTGCGTCTTGTGTTATCAGGGTTTCAAGGTTCTTTTCAGTGAACTACGCCCTGAACTCGTAACAGCTAACGATTCTTTACCTAAAGCCATCGTTATTGTGCGGGTACTTCGTTGTATGGGCTTCAGTCTTGCGTTGTTGTTACCGATTCTGAGTTTCCGGTACTGATGTTCGAGTCCGCAACTGTTCGTTTCTCAGTATGCCAAATGCACATATTTAGATAGATAAACAGATAGATAGATAGATAGTTAGTTAGATAGATGGAAAGATGGGTGGGTAGGTAGGTAGGTAGGCAGGTATGTAGACACGTCGATAGGTAGATAGGTAGAGAAGTAAATCGACAAACAGATCCGTAGACAGACAGACAGACAGACAGACGGACAGACAGACAGACAGAGGGTCAGAGAGGCGGACAGAGGGACTGAGAGACGGACGGACAGACAGACTGACGGGCACATAGAAAGAACGATTGATTGATTGCTTCATTGGCTGGCGACACACTGACTGGTTGATTGATTGCTTAACTGATGACTGACTGACTGACTGACTGACTCACGTGTTGGTTGATTGAGGGTTGCTAAATTGCTTGACTGGTTGATTGATCGATAGATCGGTAAAGACAGGTAGAGAGAGGTTGGTTAGTTCGCTAGCTAGCTATTTAGTTAGGTAGTTAATCAGCTAGTTAGTCAGCTAGTTAGCCTAAGCCCCAATTAAAAAGAATGTCACACCTCGGAGATCCAACTCCCACTGGAGACCTTCCGATGTGAAGGCGCTTCATATGACTTATGATTCAGAGTGGAACTCCTATCAGCGGATCTTGCTACAGCAGACGCCCAAAAGCCGGAAACCCAACAGCCTCAACCCTTAACCTTTCGGGAATCCCAGCGCTAATGGTCCTGAATCCGGTTTCCAGTTTTTTGGGTGGTTTACTGTAAGTGTTCAGATCAGGGTCTTGGA